TGGAGGTATTTTTCTCCCTCTATATTGTTGAAAAAACTACTAAAGATAATCCAAGGAATTCAGCTTCAGTAGCTGACATACATTGTTTCTGCCAATGCTGAGGAATAGCATTAATTGGCCGCAGATTAGACGTGATAGAAATAACCCCCTTCTCTCTCAGGTGAGAGAGTTCTGTGAAGGAGAAAATGCACAGTTGCTTCAGCACATCTGGCTCTTGAATGGCATCTTGGTCATCTAAGTATCTTGCAACAAAATCTGTTGCCAAAAACTCTGGGGAAAAAAAAAGCTAAGTTGCTGTGGGAGACAAATGGTTGTCAAGAACAGCTGATTAAAGGGAAGGGTTGAGGGGGAAGGAATAAATAGCTCTCACATCAGAGGGGGAGCTCACCTGTGGAGTCCTGTGGCATTCTCTGTTGTTCATTGAGTATGTTTAACTAGAAAATGAGGCAATAGTTTACTGATACTACTACTAGATCATTGAGACAGCAAAAACAAAAGCTGACTGAAGAGAATTGCAGAGAAATGTAGGGATATGAAGGACAGCTGCTTTCATTCAGGAAAGGTCACTGACTTGTAACAGTTACATGAAAAGGGCAGTTGTATGGTTATTAAATTTAAAGCTAGGGAAGGGAATAGGGAACAAAATGGAAAGCTGCTGTGCAGCAGTACAAATCTGCAATGTCCATGTAGCCTGAGTATCGGACACAACTGGTGCTTTCTCCTCCAGATGTGTGAATAGATGGCTTGCCCAGGGCTAGGAGGAGTTTGCTAAGGAGATGCCTTGACTTGGCAGGGCCTTTGGGGATAATGCAGAGGAGAGGAGAAATGCAGCTGGTTCTAGAGGAGCTGGGGCAATTGGTGCCCTTATGTGCCAAGCTTTGGCCTGGTCTAGTTGGATTGTTTCTGTGTTACAGTAGAAAATAGAACAAGACTTGTCAATCTCCCAAGTTGTGGCTGGTTAGGAAAAAATGTGCTCAGGTTCATGTGGGAAATCTTGCACAGAGGGGTTTATAGATCTCAGTGCTGGAGTTCTTCGATTTTGCTTCTACATGTATGACTCTAGGTTTGTAACAGTCATTCTCTGCAGGGTCTTCCCTTAGGGCTGGCAACTGCCTCTAACAGCAAAGGAAGAGCTGTGGGGATGATACCAAGTTTGTGGAGTAACTGCTGCTACTCCAGAAGGTATTGAGCCCAGGGAATCAGTCCTGTGTGCTGAGCTGGCCTCCAGGCTGGTCTGGGTACACAGCTTAAACAGTAACTGCTGGGGAATAGAGAATTTTCTGGGATCTGAGAGGAAGCCCTGGTGTTCCTAAAGAGCAGTTTTGAAATGCCAGATATGCAGACATATAGGTTCCGCAAGGAAAAGTAGTTGTAGTTCTCAAAATACATCTCTGGGGTCAACAGTTGACCTTGGGGAACTGACAGCCTCTCTCTGGGCTATTGTATAAGGGAGTGGACTGGCTTGATTTGTGCTATATTCAAGGCATTGGGAGCTTAATTTCCATCCATGTTTCCATGAACACAACAGTTCTGAAGTACAAGGACCTTTTAATTTCTCCAATTAATACACATTTGTACCTGCCAGGACTCTATATTGAAAGGTTGAGCATAAGGCTGGGCAATTACCTCCATTTTTCTGTTAAGACTCAATTTTCATTTTGTGGAACACAGTGAAGGAAAATAGTGAAGTAATAAACTGTGAATATTCTCTGGTTGTGGTTAGGACACTACTGGCATGTAAAATTGTATTCATATCTGGGTAAACTTGGCCACCATTTCCCTCCCAGTTCTTGTAGGCTTTCTTCCTTATCTACTGTTTCTTTTGGTGATACTGTTGCCCAAAAAGGCAGATTCGTTACCCAGTGTGCAATAAGCCAATTTCACACAATACCAAGATTATGTGATCTTGTGGAGATAACAGGCTGGCTGCTGCAGTGTGTATATGCTGCATCTTGTACAGCCTTGCCTTGGTCTGACTAGGCTTTATGTCTTCTCTCTAATGTGCCCATATAGTGACGGAGATGATTTTAATACATTTGTGTAGATGTAGTTAATCAGCGTGGTCCTTTTTGTCACACCACAGGGGGATTGTTTTCTCTGGACTGTTCTGTCATGTTTCATTCTTTCAGGGGTTGCAGACATACTCTTGGTTAACCTTGTTCACCTTCAATGGTGAGACATCATGTACAGAACGTGACTGAGCTCAGCTGAAACTCCCCTGACAGCTCTAGCAGTTCCTCAGCAGGAGACAGAGGGGAGAAGAGCAATTATCAGCCAGAAAGACTCTGAATGCAGAACAGATGTGAACACTGGGAAAACAGCATGACTGTCTTTCACGGCAAATTTACTACTGCAACGGGGAAGTCCCACCAAGGCTTTTTGAAAGGCGCACTGTTA